TAAATTTACGTTAACGACAGTCTTACAAAGCGCCGGGCATGGTGTGGCTCACGCCTGTAACTCCCAGCACTTTGGGACGCCCGAGGCGGGCAGATCACAAGGTCAGAGATCAGACCATCCTGGCTCATCACAGGTGGAAACCCCGTCTCTACTCACAAAAATACAACAAAATTAGCCAAGGTGTCACGTCGGCGTGGCCTGTATTCGCCAGCTGCTGGGAGGGTGAGGCGTGGAAGAATACGCATGAACCCGGAGGCGGAAACCTTGCAGTGAGCCAAGATTGCGCCACCACTCCGCCGGCGACAGAGGCGAGACTTCCACTAAAAAAAAAAAAAAACAAACAGAGTTAAATCATAACAGAAATTCCCATTTTAGCTAACACATTTGTTTCTCTCTTATGCGTATATATCGATCATTCTACATGACTCTCCAGCAGAAACCTAGCCGCCAAATTAGTTACCAACCTGGTAAGCTATGCGAAATGTATAGAAAACACAATGGAGGGTAAGCAGTCCTGGCTCCAAGGGCGCACTCCGGTTTTGGTTGGGTATTGCTTTCATATTCATTATCTTAGTCAACTTATCTGAATCCTTCAAACTCAGGAAGAGGATTCGTGCTGAAAGAAAAAAGAGAGTCCAGCAAATTTGGGACGCTCTTTGACTAGTTAACCAAACTCTGAACTCTCTATAACGATATTGTCTCAATACCCTCCACACCACAAGTTCCTGAAGCTTTTTCCTCACCTGTTCTGAGGTGGAGCATTTGGATCTGTCTTTTTGCTTTTGGATCCAATACTGTCCTTTTTAGGCTTCTTCTTTTGGTTTTCCTGTCTTCCATTTCTCCCTCTTCATCCTCATCACAACGAACAAAGGTATCAAGTTCTCTGGTTTCTTTTAAAAACAAAAAATACCTAGCAAGCTCAAAAAGAGTCACCACATTTTTTAAATTAATTTGCTTCATTAAGATACCATTTACCATCGATAGTAGCAGAGATTACAATTACAAAATAGTAATTTACACTCTGACAGACAGGGTTCCTGTACTTGTCTACCCAATAAGCCCATTCTCCCCCTTTTCTCCTTACTAAACAGAACCCTGACTTTCTATTGAGTAGCAATTGTGCTCAGTTAAAATCAATCTTCTGTTTCCGCCCAGCTCCCTGTGCAGGCTAGGAATGGTCCATATAAGTGATATTCGGGGTACGTTATAAAAAAAAATGTTTTCCCTGATTAAGAAGCGGAAAGCTGTCAGCACAGATATGCCTTTGTCCTTCCCCCTTTCTTCTTCTTGAAATCGGATGCTGCATGCTGAAACGCAATAGCCCACTTCTGTGAGCACAGACAAAGCACATTCTAAGACTGTCGTGGCACCAGAAACAGAAGGAGCCAGGGACCTTTATGGCACCGTGGAGCCCTTCATGCCAGCCCTGGAAGGCTTCTCCTGAAATCTCATTTTATGGGAGAAAAATTATCTGTTCAGCCCACTGCATTCAGGTTCTATAAAATGCAACCATACCCAAATTGTCACATATAAACATCACCCTCTTAGAACACAAAATTTTATATACCAGTATAAAATGGGCTTCCAAGCGGCCAGGCACAGTAGCTCACGCCTGTTATCCCAGCACTTTGGAGGGCGAGGCGGGGGATCATCTGAGGTCAGGGATTCAGACAAGCCTGGCCAACATGGTGAAACCCTCTCTACTAAAGAAATACAAAAATTAGCCGGTGTCGGTGCGTGTGCCTCTAACTGCCCAGCCCGGTAAAAAAGGTCGGGACGTAGCAGAGCGAAACACGTTGAACCTGGTAGGTGGGAGTATTGGATCCAAAAGCAAAAAACAAGATCCCAATGCTCCACCTCAGAACAGGTGAGGAAAAAGCTTCAGGAACTTGTGTGTGGAGGTATGAGACAATATGTTATAGAGAGTTCAAGTTTGTTAATAGTCAAAAGGTAATTTTGACTCTCTTTTTCTTTCACAGAATCCCTCTTCCTGAGTTGAAAGATTCAGATAAGTTGGATAAGATAATGAATATGAAAGAAACCACCAAACGAGTGCGCCTTGGACCAGACTGCTTACCCTCCATTTGTTTCTATACATTTCTCAATGCTTACCAGGTTGGTAAACTAATTGGGTGGTTTCAAGGCTCCACGGTGCCATAAAGGTCCCTGGCTCCTTCTAGTTTCTGGTCCACCATCTTTAGAATGTGGCTTTCTTTGTGCTCACAAATGGCTATTGCAGTTTCAGCATTGCAGCTCCATTTCAAGAAGGAAGAAGGGGGAGGACAAAAGGCATATCTGTGCTGAAGCTTTCCCTTTTTAATCAGGAAAACAATTTTTTTTTATACAACCGTACCCAATATACTTATATGGACATTCCTAGCTGCAAGGGAGCCTGGAAACAGAAATGATTTAACTGAGCACATTGCTACTCCAATAAAATCAGGGTTCTGTTAGTAAGGAAAAAGGGGAGAATGGCTATTGGGTAGACAAGTACAGAACCCTGCTTCAGAGTGTAAATTACTATTTTGTAATTGTAATTTATCCTATCGATGTAAAATGGGTATATTAATGAACAAATAATTTAAAAAATGTTGACTCTTTTGACTTGTAGGTATTTTTTGGTTTATTAAAAGAACCAGAAATTGAGGTACCTTTGGATGATGAGGATGAAGAGGGAGAAAATGAAGAAGGAAAACCTAAAAAGAAGAAGCCTAAAAAAGACAGTATTGGATCCAAAAGCAAAAAACAAGATCCCAATGCTCCACCTCAGAACAGGTGAGGAAAAAGCTTCAGGAACTTGTGTGTGGAGGTATGAGACAATATGTTATAGAGAGTTCAAGTTTGTTAATAGTCAAAAGGTAATTTTGACTCTCTTTTTCTTTCACAGAATCCCTCTTCCTGAGTTGAAAGATTCAGATAAGTTGGATAAGATAATGAATATGAAAGAAACCACCAAACGAGTGCGCCTTGGGCCAGACTGCTTACCCTCCATTTGTTTCTATACATTTCTCAATGCTTACCAGGTTGGTAAACTAATTGGGTGGTTTCTGCCTGGAGAGTCATGTAGAATGATGATTTACCATTAAGAGAGAAACAAATGTGTTAGCTAAAATGGAGTTTTGTTATTTAAACTCTGTTTTTTTTTTTTTTTTTTTTTTTTGAGATGGAGTCTCGCTCTGTCGCCCAGGCTGGAGTGCAGTGGCGCAATCTTGGCTCACTGCAAGTTCCGCCTCCTGGGTTCATGCTATTCTTCCGCCTCAACCTCCCCAGCAGCTGGGACTACAGGCACACGCCACTACACCTGGCTAATTTTTTGTATTTTTAGTAGAGACGGGGTTTCACTGTGTTAGCCAGGATGGTCTCGATCTCTGACCTTGTGATCTGCCCGCCTCGGCCTCCCAAAGTGCTGGGATTACAGGCGTGAGCCACCATGCCCGGCCTTTAAACTCTTAATATAATTTAAAGACAGCAGTCAGGAAAAGAGAATTGGATACTGCACAGAATAGAAGGCAATGTTTAATGGCATTTGTTTCACTGATCAGAATTCTGCTAGCCTTTGAGGAGTAGCAAATTGTGGTTCATCTCTGTTGAACTTGGTTTAAGTACTTATGTAAACTTATTTATCAATTTTTTTTTTTTTTTAAAGACAAGAGTCTTGTGCTGTCGCCCGAGTGGAGTGCAGAGGTGAGATCTCAGCTCACTGCATCCTCTGCCTCCCAGGTTCAAACAATTCTTGTGCCTTAGCTGCAGCCTCCTGAATAGCTGGGATTACAGGCACCTGCCACCATGCCTGGCTAATTTTTGTATTTTTAGTAGAGACAGGGTTTTGCCATGTTGCCCAGGCTGGTTTTGAACTCCTGACTTCAAGTGATCTGGCTGCGTCGGCCTCCCAAAGTGCTAGGATTACAGGTGTGAGCCACCGTGCCCAGTCATATAAACTTTATTTTATTATTTTAATTTAATTTTATTTTTTTGAAATAGAGTCTCGCTCTGACACCCAGGCTGGAGTGTGGTGGTGCGATCTCGGCTCACTGCAACCTCCGCCTCCCAGTTCAAGTGATTCTCCTGCCTCAGCCTTCCAAGTAGCTGGGATTATAGGCATGAGCCACCATGCCTGGCTAATTTTTGTATTTTCAGTAGAGACGGGGTTTCACCAGGTTGGCCAGGCTGGCCTCAAATTCCTGAGCTCAGGCGATCCACTCGCCTCAGCCTCTCAAAGTGCTGTGATTACAGGCATGAGCCACCACGCCTGGCCAAACTTAATATTTTATTTTATTTATTTATTTATTTTTTGAGACAGAGGCTGGAGTGTAATGGCACAATCTCGGCTCACTGCAACCTCTGCCTCCTGGGTTCAAGTGATTTTCTTGCATCAGCCTCACAAGTAGATGGAATTACAGGTGCCCACCATCCTGCCCAGCTAATTTTGGTATTTTTAGTAGAGATGGGGTTTCACCATGTTGGCCAGGCTGGTCTCGAACTCCCAATCTCAGCTGATCCACCTGCCTCGGCCTCCCAAATTGTTGGGATTACAGGTGTGAGTCACTGTGCTTGGCCAATATTTTAAATCAAGGATTTAAAAAGTCTTTATATATTCCTTAAAATAGGATGTTGAGGATATATTTAGTATAGTGTGAAAATGATTAACATTTGCTTCCTGTTCTGTACTCTGAATACCCTAAAATAGTATTGTTTAGTCTAAACCTTTTATTGGCAGGGTCTCACTGCAGTGGATGTCACTGATGATTCTAGTCTGATTGCTGGAGGTTTTGCAGATTCAACTGTCAGAGTGTGGTCTGTAACACCCAAAAAACTTCGTAGTGTCAAACAAGCATCAGGTAACTGAGATGACCTTTTGGAATGTGAACTTTCCATTAGTCTACACCAATCTTGATTCCATGAAAAACACACAGAAGATTGTGTTCTTTACAGAAATTCACTTGATTTTACTTTAACTCAAGATTCTAACATTCCCAACAGTGAAAAAAGCTTTGGAGTGACTGGGATGCTAGACTGGTTTAATTTCTTTAGGCCTCAGTTTTCTCATCTGTAGAATGAGTATTAGGCTAAAAAACTTAAAGTTAAAAATCTAACATTTTATGATTGCTTGTAAATCTTGAAAAATCTTTAAGGGATGGTACTTCCTGTTTTAGTCATAAAAATGGCTAATAAAGAACAAATAAGGTCAGGATTTTATTTGAAAGTTTTTTTGTTTTTGTTTTTTTGAGACAGAGTCTCGCCCTGTCACCCAGGCTAGAGTGCAGTGGTACGGTCTCAGCTCACTACAGCCTCCACCTCCCAGTTTCAAGAGATTTTCCTGCCTTAGCCTCCCCAGCTCCCCACTAATTGGGATTACAGGTGCCCACCACCATGCCCAGGTAATTTTTGTATTTTTAGTAGAGATGGGGTTTCACCATGTTGGCCAGGCTGGTCTCGAACTCCTGACCTCAAGTGATCCGCCTGTGTGGCCTCCCAAAGTGCCAGAATTATACGTGGCTCACTGCAACCTCTGCCTCCCGGGTTCAAGCGATTTTCCTGCCTCCACACCTGGCCTGAGATAAAGTTTATTATTTAAATAAAACAATGTATTTTAAATTATTTTAATACGTCTATAGGTTATTTTTATTTTTATTTTTATTTTTTTTTTAGATGGGGTCTCACTCTGTTGCCCAGGCTAGAATGCAGTGGTGTGATCACGGCTCACTGCAGCCTCCAATCCCTGGGCTGAAGTGATCCTCCCACTTCAGCCTCCTGAGTAGCTGGGACTACAGGTGTGTGCAACCACACTGGCTAATTTTTTATTTTTTACAGAGACAGGGTTTCTCCATGTTGTCCAGGCTGGTCTTGAACTCCTGAGCTCAAGCAATCTGCCTACCTTAGCCTCCCAGAGTTCTGAGATTACAGGTGTGAGCCACCATGCCTGGCTCATAGTTTTCATTTTTGTGAAACACTGTGGCATAGTGAGCGAAACCGAGTTTCAGTCCTGGTTCCCACACTGAGTAGCTGTGTGCACTCTAGCAAATTATCTATTCTGAATGTCAATTTCTTCTTTTACACGCTGAGATGATACCACCTAATTTAGAGGGATTAGCACAGTGTGGTTGGTATATAGGAGGAAATTTTCAAATGTTAATTCCTCTCCTGAACTGTGGTATGATTACTTTAAAAGTTTTGATGAATGTACTTTTAAAACATCAATATTTCTGGACCATTTTAGATCTTAGTCTTATAGACAAAGAATCAGATGATGTCTTAGAAAGAATCATGGATGAGAAAACAGCAAGTGAGTTGAAGATTTTGTATGGTCACAGTGGGCCTGTCTATGGAGCCAGCTTCAGTCCGGATAGGTAAAATACAAACAATAAAAATTAAATACTGCTATGTTATATTGAAATTATATAAAAGTCAACTACTGGAAACATTATGCAAATACTGGGAAAATTCTGATAAAAATCTCATGGTTGTCGTTCATTATCTTTTAGAATCTTGCCGTTTGCTAATTCATCTTTGAATCCTGATGTTTGTACACGGTAGCAATTTAATGTATACTCTTTTTTTTTTTTTTTTTTTTTTAAGACGGAGTTTCACTCTTGTTGCCCAGGTTGGAGTGCAATGGAGTGATCTCGGCTCACCGCAACCTCTGCCTCCTGGGTTCAAGTGGTTCTTCTGGCTCAGCCTCCCAAGTAGCTGGGATTACAGACCTGTGCCACCACACCTGGCTAATTTTATATTTTTAGTAGAGACGGGTTTTCTCCATGTTGGTCAGGCTGGTCTTGAACTCTCAACCTCAGGTGATCTGCCCACCTTGGCCTCCCAAAAGTGCTGGGACTACAGGCGTGAGCCACTGCGCCCAGCCTGTATACTCAAATTTATAGAATCAAAATGCACAGTTTCAGGGCTTACTGGTTTTAAAAATTAGCTTTAGTATTTTCTTCTTTTCTTTTTTTTTTTTTTTAATTATTTTTATTTGTTACCCAATGGTAAATAACCAACCACAGCTTTAGTTTTATAGAACTCCATTAGGGGTTGAAATGCTTCATTGGGTCCCTGCATTGTGTCTTCTGGCTGCTTCATCAAATTTAAGACAAATTCCTGACATTAATGGCATATTAGCTAGTAATTGAGGATTTATCTTTCTATAATCAAAAGTACTAAGAGTAAATGAAAAAGGAAATTCGAAATTGGTTTTGTTTCCCTTTAGGTGTATGATTACAATGTCATCCTATGTGTATAGGTATTTGCCTATTTTTCATGATCTCTAACACTGTAAAAATGGGGGGAGGGTGTTTTGTATTCATAATACCCTTAGTATATTACTTGGATAGATAAAAGCTTTCAGGCCAGGGACAGTGGCTCATGCCTGTAATCCCAGTACTTTGGGAGGCCAAGACTGGCGCATCACCTGAGATCTGGAGTTCGAGACCAGCCTGGCCAACGTGGGAAATCCCGTCTCCACTAAAAGTACAAAAATTAGCAGGGCATGATGGTGCCCGCCTGTAATCCTGGCTACTTGGGAGGCTGAGGCAGGAAAATCATTTGAACCTGGGAGGCGGAGGTTGCAACGAGCCGAGATCGCACCACTGCACTCCAGCCTGGGCAAGAAGAGCTAAACTCCATCTCAAAAAAAGAAGAAAAGAAAAAAAGATAATAGCCTTCCATTGATCAAGATTTCATCATTATGAAACTTTGAGAATTAGGTTTTTTGTTGTTTGATAAGGTTTTGCCAGATGATACATTTTTACTTGAGGGAAACGTCTGATTTCAGTGAAAACTGTAATACCTTCTGACTACCAATCCGTTGTGTTTATCCTTGAAAAAGGTAGAGAATTATTAGCATGTCTATAGTTTTTTTTTTTTCTTCAAAAGACATTTCCTTTTTAATTCTTAAATAGCATACACAGCATAGGGAAATAGCATCTTTATTTTAGGGTCAAAAATTGTTGAGTTTTAAGTGACATATCACATTTCCTAAACTTTCTCAATTGACCTTACTTGACTATACTTTGTTAATTACCCCGGTACTTTTTTCTTGTAAAGAACTGATTTTCCGTAAGTTTCTGTATCATCTTACCTCATTCAGTAGGTGCTCGGTATATGTAGAGTGTCAGAGCTAACATTAGTTTGGTTAGTTCTTTCAGTTGATACCTACTGTGAATTGCATGAATGAATTAAAAGTGAGATGTAGCATGTTAGCTATATTTAATATATTCAAATATATGTAAAATATTCAAGTGTATATAAAATATTTAATGTATTCAAATGTATATAAAACTGGACAGGTGACCAAAGGTTACTCTGGGAGTCAAATATATTACCTTCTCTTCTCTCAGGAACTATCTGCTTTCCTCTTCAGAGGATGGAACTGTTAGATTGTGGAGCCTTCAAACATTTACTTGTTTGGTGGGATATAAAGGACACAACTATCCAGTATGGGACACACAATTTTCTCCATATGGATATTATTTTGTGTCAGGGGGCCATGACCGAGTAGCTCGGTAAGAACACTGTGATCTTATGACTGGGTGTATTCAATGAATAGAATGGTTTCTTGTTGGGAATTACAGCAGCCAGCCAAATTCATTTACACTTCCATTGTTGAGGATCAACTTTCTGAGAAGCTTTTGCATTTATAACTTATTTGAAATTGGGGCCGGGCGCAATGGCTCACGCCTGTAATCCCAGCCCTTTGGGAGGCCAAGGTGGGCGGATCACCTGAGGTCAAGAGTTCGAGACCAGCCTGGTCAACGTGGTGAAACCCCTTCTCTACTAAAAATACAAAAATTAGCTGGGCGTGGTGGTAGTCGCCTGTAATCCCAGATATTCAGGAGGCTGAGACAGGAGAATCGTTTGAACCCAAGAGGCGGAGGTTGCAGTGAGCTGAGATCGCACCATTGCACTCCGGCCTGGGGGCAAGAGCGAGACTTCGTCTCAAAAAAAAAAAAAAAAAAAAGCAACTGGGGCAGGAGTATTATTATATCTGCAATTACATCTATATGAATCCTGGTTTTTAAAAAATAGTTAACTAACAGTCCTCCCTTCCACCCCCATCAGATGCTTAACCTTGTCTTCCATACCACTGTGAGCACCTTTATGTTTCTCTGTCATCTTCTTAGAAGTTGAGGATAAGGTAGTTCAGGTTAGAAACTATTTGGCCAGGTGCAATGGCTCACGCCTGTAATCCCAGCACTTTGGGAGGCCAGGAGTTCCAGACCAGCCTGGCCAACATGACGAAACCCCGTCTCTACTGAAAAAAAAAGAAAAAATACAAAAATTAGCCGGGTGTGGTGGCACATGTCTGTAGTCTCAGCTACTCAGGAGGCTGAGGCAGAATTGCTTGAACCCAGGAGGTGGAGGTTGCAGTGAGCCGAGATTGCACCACTGCATTCCAGCCTGGGTGACAGAGTGAGACCGTCTCAAAACAAAACAAAACAACTATTTGGTGGCCAGAACGAGGGGAAAATACTTTTCTGTGGTTTAGACTAGGAATAGGGGAGAAAGAATATACAGAGAATTGGAGTTCTAGAACTTAAGTTTTGGCTGGCTACAGTGGTATACACGCCTGTAGTCCCAGCTACTGGGGAGGCTGAGGTGGGAGGATTGCTGGAACCCGGAGTTTGAATCCAGCTTGGGCAACAGAGCAAGACCTCAGAATTTTTTTTTTTTGAGACAGAGTCTTGCTCTGTTGCCCAGGCTGGAGTGCAGTGTTGCCATCTCAGCTCACTGCAACCTCTACCTTCTGGGTTCAAGCAGTTCTCCTGCCTCAGCCTCCTGAGTAGCTGGGATTATAGGCGTGTGCCACCATTCCCAGCTAATTGTTTGTATTTTTAGTAAAGATGGGGTTTCACCATGTTGGTCAGGCTGGTCTCGAACTCCTGACCTCATGATCCACCTACCTCAGCCTCCCAAAGTGCTAGGATTACAAGCGTGAGCCACCGTGCCTGGACAAGACTTCAGCTTAAAAAAAAAAAAAAAAAAATTGTACCAGATGAACTCTCAGGACTGAGAGTCCCATTCTTCTTCCCCTCAGTTAACTAGTAAGTGGGGGGCCCACTCAGAAATAACTTTTCATATGGATGTTTCTGTATTTATTTTGTATGGATTTTTGGCATTTCACAGCTATGTACTAATTGTTGTCTTTTGCTTTCAATAACTTTATAAAAGGCTCTGGGCTACAGACCACTATCAGCCTTTAAGAATATTTGCTGGCCATCTTGCTGATGTGAATTGTACCAGATTCCATCCAAATTCTAATTATGTTGCTACGGGCTCTGCAGACAGAACTGTGCGACTCTGGGACGTCCTAAATGGTAACTGTGTAAGGATCTTCACTGGACACAAGGTATTTTACACTCTTATTATTCCAGCATCCAAGGTTGCTTTCAAGATAAAAATATTTTTTAAACAAGTGACACATAAATTTTGCAGACACCATTCTTACTACAAAACTTTAAAATTTTGTCTTATTTTCCTAGACATACTTTACTCTGATCCTTTCTATGAACTTCTTTTGTAGGGACCAATTCATTCCTTGACATTTTCTCCCAGTGGGAGATTCCTGGCTACAGGAGCAACAGATGGCAGAGTACTTCTTTGGGATATTGGACATGGTTTGATGGTTGGAGAATTAAAAGGCCACACTGATACAGTCTGTTCACTTAGGTTTAGTAGAGATGGTGAAATTTTGGCATCAGGTAAATGACTATTAATGGCTTTATGGTAAATGCTATGTTAAGAGGAAACAGTGTTGACGATTGCAAAACTAAGTCCTTGTGTTTTAGGTTTTGCTTCCCTTTAGCTATGATTCCAGAGTGTCACCCTATACATGAATTACTTCTCAGGTTAAAGTACCGCTTGAAATGCTCCTTAGGAAGGAATAGAGTTGTTGGTCAAGTTTAGATTTTTCACCCAAAATGTACAGTAGATACATAAAGTGTACTGGACAAAATGTCCAAATGTAAATATGATGGATGCAACTAATGGTTTCCTTTGACTTCCCCTTAGGTTCAATGGATAATACAGTTCGATTATGGGATGCTATCAAAGCCTTTGAGGATTTAGAGACCGATGACTTTACTACAGCCACTGGGCATATAAATTTACCTGAGAATTCACAGGAGTTGTTGTTGGGAACATATATGACCAAGTCAACACCAGTTGTACACCTTCATTTTACTCGAAGAAACCTGGTTCTAGCTGCAGGAGCTTATAGTCCACAATAAACCGCCGGTATTAAAGACCTTTTGGAAGCTACTGTTTTTGAAAAGGGAGACTAAAAGCAAATACCTCAGTGATTAATATTTAAGCTACAAAGAATGTTTTTGTCTATATGGATCTGGAAGTATGCTGCTTGGAAAATCTGAACGGGACAGTTCCACGTTTCTATAGCAACCACATTTGACTAATTTCCGTTAGTTGAATAAGAGGTATTATGATCATGGAGGGGACATTTATGGTGCTTTGGATTGTGTGGAAACTATGCATTTTCTGTTCAAATGCTATTTTAATTTATTACGTTTAGAAAAAAAGTTGATTTCAATAATTCATCCTGCTTCAAGATTCAAATTCAGAAATATACTATCATCTTGAATTTTAGCTGAAGAATCCTATGAGCATGTATGTTTCTGCTGTAAAAACGTAGTTACTGTATGGCACTCAAAAACTGTTAAATGATCCACTAACTTTTTTTTTCTCGGCCCATGATTAGTGGAATGTATGTAACTAGGTGGGGTTCCTTTGTTAGATCTAGATGAATTATAACCATCCACTGACATCTGAATTTATATACCTGTTGAGTTTTGAGTGCACCCAAACACTCGATAAACCAGGTGAAGAAATTTAGCTTCCATGTTCTACTTCAGCTAAAACAGCTACATACAACCTAGTACACTTGAAGTCAGACAGACATTTCAGTTGCTTACCTCCAGTACTGAGCCTTGCTTTGGGAAACTAAAAGATTTAGACCAAGTCACTGCCAGTTTTTGCCTTTGTTGCATTTTGTACAGTTTTTATATTTTTGATATCTTGTAAATAAAGACAACCAGCTTTTCCAGGTTCATAATTTATTGTACAAATTGAATTATCACATGATGAGTTGGGATTAGCTTCTCCAGGCATGGGAACTTAGCAGATGAGGTTAAGAACTGTAGACAGTTTAAAATCCTATAAACAAAGCAAACAGTTTAGATACCAATGTGGTCAGCTTTACTTTGAAGACATTCAAGAATTACTAAGATAACATGAACCCAGTGAAACTGAATGCAAATTTATTAGATTGTCAAAGATGTGACACCAAAAAAATTATAGTCTATCTCAGATTAATACTTTTTTTTTTTTTTTTGAGACAGAGTTCGCTCTTGTTGCCCAGGCTGGAGTACAATGGCACGATCTTGGCTCACTGCAACCTCCGCCTCCTGGGTTCAAGTGATTCTCCTGCCTCAGCCTCCTAAGTAGCTGGGATTACAGGCATGTGCCACCACACCCGGCTAATTTTTTTTTTTTTTGAGATGGAGTCTCGCTCTGTTGCCCAGGCTGGAGTGCAGTGGTGCAGTCTCGGCTCACTACAAGCTCTGCCTCCTGGGTTCATGCCATTCTCCTCCCTCAGCCTCCCATATAGCTGGGACTATAGGCGCCCACCACCGCAGCCGGCTAATTTTTTGTATTTTTTTAGTAGAGACGGGGTTTCACCGTGTTAGCCAGGATGGTCTCGATCTCCTGACCTCGTGATCCGCCTGTCTCGGCCTCCCAAAGTGCTAGGATTACAGGCGTGAGCCACTGCGCCCAGCCTAATTTTGTATTTTTTAGTAGAGACAGGGTTTCACCATGTTAGTCAGGCTGGTCTCAAACTCCTGACCTCAAGTGATCCACCCGCCTCAGCCTCCCAAAGTGAGGGATTACAGGCGTGAGCCACTGTGCCCAGCCTCAGATTAATACATTTTAACCTAACATTCCACCTTTAACAAATAAGCTACCAATAATTTAGTATGATCCTAAAGGTATACTATTAGAAAAGTCTAGCATATAAAGTAACATCTTTTTTTTTTGTTTGGAGACAGAGTCTCACTCTATCCCCCAGGATGGAGGGTAGCGGTGCAATCTCGGTACACTGCAACCTCTGCTTCCTGGGTTCAAGCGATTCTCATGCCTCAGCCTCTCGAGTAGCTGGGATTACAGGTGCCTGCCACCACACCCGGCTAATTTTTGTATTTTTAGTAGAGACTGGGTTTTGTCATGTTGGACAGGCTGGTCTCGAACTCCTCACCTCAGGTGATTCACCTCACCTTCCCAAAGTGCTGGGATTACAGGCGTGAACCACCACGCCTGGCCTCTCCATTTTTGTAATGGGGATACTACCACCCTCCTGAAGTTAGGAGGTAATTAATATAAAAAACTGGACAAAATACTACCTGTTTGTTAGGAATAAGCCAGTGATCACTGCGTTCTGGGATATGCAGTCCCTAAGGTCAACTGTTGAGATTGGAAAAGCTCTTAGGCATTGAAGAGGCCAGGCACAGTGGCTCATGCCTGTAATCCCAGCACTTTGGGAGGCTGAGGCAGGTGGATCATTTGAGCCCAGGAGTTCAATAGCAACCTGGGCAACATCACAAAACCCTGTCTACCAAAAGAAAATACAAAAATTAGCTGGGTGTGATGGCGTGCACCTGAAATCCCAGCTATTCAGGAGGCTGAGGTGGGAGGGTCACTTGAGCCCGGGAAGCAGAGGCTGCAGTGATCGGAGATCACACCACTTCACTCCAGCCTGGGCAACAGAGCTAGAGTCTCAAAAAGAAAAATATCTGGGCTGGGCACGGTGGCCCATGCCTGTAATCCCAACACTTTGGGAAGCCAAGGCGGGCACATCACCTGAGGTCAGGAGTTTGAGACCAGCCTGACCAACATGGTGAAACCCTGTCTCTATTAAAAATACAAAAAAATTAGCCATGAGTGGTGTTGTGCACCTGTAATCCCGGCTACTTGGGAGCCTGAGTCAGAAGAATCGTTTGAACTAGGAGGCAGAGGTTGCAGTGAGACAAGATCATGCCATTGCACTCCAGCCTGGGCAACGAGTGAAACTCCATCTCAAAAAAAAAAAGAAGAAAAAAAAAAGATAAAAATGTCTGTGAAGGAGAGCTACAGCAGATGAGGATGTGGCATTTGGGCTTTCCACATATCATCTATTGCCAACACAACAGAGATTTACTCATTTAAAGGATCGGCAAATGGGGGTTGGAGGATTATAAGAAGAAAATAAAACCTATGGGGATTTAAGGATAAGACAGAATTACATAAAAATTGGAAACAAACTAGAAAAAGAAATATTTGCAACTGATATAAAAGGTTGGTTAACGATTACATAAAGAGCTTCCAAGTCTGCAACCTCTGCCTCTTGGGCTCAAGCGATTCTCCTGCTGCAGCCTCCCGAGTAGCTGGGATTACAGACGCCTGCCACCACACCCGGCTGATTTTTGTATTTTTAGTAGAGATGGGGTTTCACCATGTTGGCCAGGCTGGTCTCAAACTCCTGACCTCAGGTGATCCGCCTGCCTCGGCCTCCCATTGTGCTGGGATTATAGGCACAAGCCACTGCCCCTAGCCTCTTTTTTTTTTGAGACAGGTCTTGCTCTTTTGCCCAAGCTGGAATGCAATGGCGTGTTCTCAGCTCACTGTAACCTTTGCCTCCTGGACTAAAGCAGTTCTCCCACCCTGGCTAATTTTTGTTTTGGTAGAGATGGGGTTTCATCATGTTGCCCAGGCTGGTCTTGAACTCCTGGGCTCAAGTCATCTGCCTGCCTTGACCTGCCAAAGTGCTGGGATTACAGGTATGAGCCACTATACTAGGCCTCTTTTTTTTCTTGTATGCTATAAATTTTGCAAAATGACAGTGGTTTATTTTTATAGTAAATGTTGGGGAAAAATCCTAACATCAAAATGGCTTAAGTTATAAAGGTTTAAATGTCAACTTCTTACCATTTATGTTGCTTTCACAGCTGGAGTTTTTTTGGACCTTAACTTGAAATATAAGACAATCAAAGCAATGCTTCCATATGTGGCCAGTACACACTGAGAAAGAAAGAAAAAAGTAAACAAGACTTGTTGCATCTATATTATTTTAAAATATAACTGCTTAAAGTTATCATTAATACTTACATTCCTTCTACCTGTGAGAGTATAAGAGTTGAAATATTTTTTAATACCAGTGAACTGGTATTGCACATCATTTTCTGGACCTGCCATGATTTCAATCTTTTAAAAAAAGAAAGAAAGCAACAATAAATTGGTTTGGATGTAATTTAAAAGTAAATAAATTTTGTCTTGTTTTAGTCTAAAAACTCAAGGTCACTGCATATAAATACTGTAAATATTTATCTATATCTCACCCAACACAGCAGTAGCAAAGATGGTGGAAAAAGCCTTCCTGATAAGCTTTTGGAAGTAGGATTTTACCTTGATTGCTATTTCATGAACACCTCAGAATACATAAAATCACTCAGCATAAGAGGAGAACACAATAGCCCCTGCTAAGTTCATTCTCTGACCCAATACAGCTTAATGTTTTCATTCCTGGCTCCATCACACCACAGTACGTTGAATTAATCCATTTTAAGGCTACTCGAAAATTGGAGCTGCTATTTTTCAAACGTTCTCAACGGGTGATCATCAACAGCTCAACTACAAGTCCTACTTTTACAATTTTTCTTGTTAAAAGTAATTTAGGACCTCCATGGGACGGGAGAAGGGATCATTTACTAAATGGAGTTGATAATAGCTACTGGTGGTAGTAAGGAAGCTGGAATCCTTGCACCACCACCAAAATAGATAAAAGATTTAAATGTAAATAGTGAAACCAGAAAGTCCTGGAAGAAAACATGGGGAAATATTTAAGTCATCTCAGGGAAGGGAAAATATTAAGGAAAAAAAGTCAAAAACAAAAAGACAAAACATAAAAGGATAACCAACCTATTAGTCAAAGAAATGTCAAATGAGACCAATATTTAATCAAATGAGCAAAGATAAAATTATGGTAAGTAGTAGTATTAAGTACATGAGAAAACAATAATTCTCTCTCTGTTGCTTGGAGTATAAACTGGTACAACTGGCCGGGCGCAGTGGCTCACGCCTGTAATCCCAGCACTTTGGGAGGCTGAGGCGGGCAGATCATGAGATCAGGAGATCGAGACCATCCTGGCTAACACGGTGTAACCCCGTCTCTACTAAAAATACAAAAAATTAACCGGGCGTGGTGGCAGGCACCGCTAGTCCTGGCTACTCGGGAGGCTGAGGCAGGAGAATGGTGTGAACCCGGGAGGCAAAGGTTGCAGTGAGCCGAGATCGCGCCACTGCACTCCAGCCTGGGCGACAGAGCGAGACTCCATCTCAAAAAAATAAACAAACAAAAAAATAAACTGGTACAACCTTCAGAAAGTCCAATTTGGCAGTATCTATCGAATTATAAAATGAGTGTACCCTTCCATCTAGCTGCTTTTTTTCTCCAGGAATTTCAATATTACCCTTATTGAAATATTACAAAGTGGAAACACATTGTGTGGTTCAAAGATGGTCAATGAAATATTGTTTATGAAAATCTTAAAAGTCTATTTATAGAAGACTCATTAAAAAATGGTTTCCATTAAATGACAGAAAATATGCACAGATCTTTGTGTACCGACATGGGAAGATGTCCCAAGTAACGTTAAATGTTGTAAGAAAAATCTTATTTCTGGATATTATAAAGCACGTCAATGGTTCTCTGATTCTTGTCCCTAGACCAGCAGCATTAGCATCACTGGAAACTTGTTAGTGCACATTCTTAGGCCCTACCTATTGAATCAGAAACTCTGGGCCCAGGAATCTATTTTAATAAGGCTTCTAGATAATCCTGAAGCATGCTAAAGTTTGAAAAATACTGCAGTAAATGAAATAGAAAAACAAATAGTGTATTAAAAAAACTCTGGAAGAATATATAGCGAAGGCGGCTTAATCTATAGTACCTGTGTATTTTACAAAGGCATGAATTTCTTTTATAGACAAGATATATTCGAAAGGTCACCAGAACA